AAGAAGTGTCTTCCTCAACAAACGGGTTTCACAGGAAGTTTTGCTCCTTTCCCCACTCGAGTTCCAACTCCAGAACCAGCATTGCTACACGGTCACTGTCCCTAGAGGAAAAGCACTGACTTTGTATCATTCATTTCCATGCAAACCTGCAGCCAAAGCAGCTAGGGGAAAGGTCAGCTGCAGCATATTTTAAGATGTGAAACTATTGCTGAGTGATTTAATGAGAAAAACAGGATTTCTGCTGGATTTTGAAATCCCACACCAAGCAAGCAGACATTATTGACCACATTGTCTTGAGCACTGGTGCAGCACATCAGCAGAGGAAGCTCACTAGCCTGATTCTCTGGCAGCTCCTTTGAGAGAAGAGTGGGGATGGAGTGCCCTGAGCTCAGCTCCAGCTTTTGGCTCTCTGCTGTTAATGTTAGGGTGGTTGGTGCAGTATGGTAATTAATGGCATAATTGTTGAAACTGAAATTTTGGCCTCTCTGTGCCTAAATAAAACCAAGCTGCTGTGATAACGTGAGCAGTTACCAGGTAACAGGGCATACCAGGTGTGGTACACTCGAGGTCCTTTTATCTGAGGTGCAGACCAGGCAGGTAACACTCTCCTCTCTCTTTTAGGCTTCTTCATCAGACCTTTTTACAAGATGATGCTGGGGAAGCAAATAACTCTGAAAGACATGGAGTCAGTGGTAAGGTGCTGTTTAACCCCTCTCAGTGTTGGCAGTTCCTGGGTTTCTAGAGCTCTGCATTAATGTGCCCATTTTCCAACTCTTTAACTGTGATCTGCCCTAGGACAGTGAATACTACAACTCTCTGAAGTGGATCCTGGAAAATGACCCTACAGAGCTGGATCTCATGTTTTGCATAGATGAGGAAAACTTTGGACAGGTGTGTAAAGCTTATGTACATCTTGGGATTGGTTATTGCCTGAGCAGTACCTCGTGGAGGTGAGTGCTAATGGGACTGGGGATGCCAGAGTCCTGCCAGGGAGCAGTGACAGCTCTGTGACAAGCAGGACATGCAGCTGAGCCAGATAGCTGCACTGAGGAGTATTAAAGGTGTTCTCCAGTCCAGGTAGGACACAGTCTCAGCTGGGACCTGTTTGGGGGTTCCTAGCTGAAGGTGTTCTCTGAGGACAGAGTGGCACAACCCCAGGCAGGGAGGTTTCTCTCTGCAGTGCCTGTTGCAGAGTGCAGGCAGTTGGTACCAGAGGGGGAAGCTGCCTGTCAGTCTGTGGGTAACTTTCTCCATTACAATGAAAGTGTTAGAGACATTAAATTAAATTAATTTGCTTAGAGGCTTTTAGGACCTTCTTTAGCATCTTCCCTTTGTTTACTTCTTAGACCTAGATCCTGGCTGCAGGTGACTGGTGTTGGGGACCACAGGACCTTTTTTAAAACTAACTTCAATGTCTCAAACCATGCACAGTGTCCTGTCAAGAACAGTCTGATCCTCTTCTCAGGGCTTACTGCCTTTTTCTGAGGCAACATAAGCTTATGGGTCACACGGGGAACTAGGGAGACTGTGGAAGTGGCAGGATGGAGGTTTTGTAATGCACTGGTTGGTTGGTGGCAATTTTCATTAGCAATTTAGCTTCAAATTGCTGCCAACCTCTCCCTGCCAGCTTTTCCTTCTGCTGACTCAAAAGCGTAAATCGATTTGCTAATAATTTCCTGTTACTGCTTGCAAAAGGCTGCTCAGTGAGTGTGGGTTGTGTGGAAACGTGTCCTCAACTAACAGGTCTCTTGGTCTTTCCAAACACAGACATATCAAGTGGACCTGAAGCCCAACGGGTCTGAAATCATGGTAACGAACGAGAACAAGCGAGAATACATCGAGTACGTGCGGTGTGCGCGACGTGGCCTCGGGCAGGGAGGGCAGTGGGACTTCAACTCCTGCACCAGGGATCCTTGGAAGGGAAAACCTTACTGTTAACATTGGGTTTGTTCTTGTAGAGGTTTAGGTTATAGAGTAAGTTAAATTCTGTGCTTGGTTTTCCTGAAATCCCCCCTAGCAAATGTGCTTCTCCAACATCTGCCTCAAGTTCAGATGAGCCAGAAGGTGCTCTTGGGCCTGCCCCTCACCCCACTGTCCTCCTCTGCCAGTCACAGACCAGAGCTAGGATTCCAGTGCCAGTGTTCCTGCACTGGCCCTATCTGAATTAGGGTTCATTTCCAGCTTTCTCAGTTTTTCTGCCTACCAGGATGTAAAATGCTGAATTCAGCTACACCTGCTGGCATTTTTAACTGGGGCCTCTTCCAAGGTGAAACACCTCAAAATCACTGCATTCTTGCAAACTGGGAATTGCTTTCCAAAGCTATATGCCTTTGTGCCCTGGGGGGCACCCAGAGCAATCCTTCCCTTTGATGTGGCAGCTTTATTCCTCTGTTGATGTATTTATAGGCGAGGTGGTGTGTGCTGACTGCTGTCCCCAGGTCTTGTAGGCTTTGCTGGCAATTGTTAATGACTCAGCAGCAGAAGAATGAAATGTCTGCTCGTGTAGTTCCTGCAGGAGTGGTGTAGGTCCTGCAGGAGTGGTGTAGGTCCTGCAGGAGTGGTGTAGGTCCTGCAGGAGTGGTGTAGGTCCTGCAGGAGTGGTGTAGGTCCTGCAGGAGTGGTGTAGGTCCTGCAGGAGTGGTGTAGGTTCCTGCAGGAGCGGTGTGTAGGGTGTGGGTGTGTAGGTTCCTGCAGGAGCAGTGTAGGTCCTGTAGGAGCGGTGTAGGGTCCTGCAGGAGTGGTGTA